TGAAAGTGTTATCGATATCTAATTAATTTAATTTTTTATAGATACATTATATTTCATGTATCATAAAAAAAAAGAGTCCAAATTATCAAAATAGAATCCGAAATGAACTCCATTAACTGCATAACAGTGATTACTGTGCATAAACCACAACAACCACCCCAAATTGAGGATCAAAATGGAGAATTGGGAGAAGGGTAATTCAACCTAATTATATCATTTGAATTGGAGAGGTGTTATTCAGACCCGTGAAACTTATCATGAATCATATTTTGATAATTAAAACCGTTCATTTTTTAGGATTCTTCATATATAGCATTCATAAAAAAAAATAAAGTTGATCTAATAATCGTCACATTTCATTTTATCTTTAAAAAAAGAAACGACAAGTGTACTTTTTAAAATGGACTACTCATTTTTTTTAAAGACAAATGTGATAAAATGAAAATAATTTCTTAGAATGATCAAGTCCAGTGTTTAGCATTGTCTCTTTAAGACAAATTCGTCCTCTCTTGGGTGCTAACAGATTATGGACGTCTATATCTTAGGATGAAATGATTTACAACGAATAGTAACAACACTACAAACTATTCACACAATGAACACACTCTCTCACAAAAAATTAAATGCAACAAAATGCAGAGAGCAATAACAGAAGCAACAACGAAAATTGAGTGCAAAATCCAAATGAGAGACTGCTTTTGTATAGGAGAACTTGTGGCTTTTCAGAAAAGAATTTAACAGGTAAAAACCTGTTCGAACAAGCGCAATACCTGTTCAGCTTGAATTAAACAGATACAAACCTGTTTGAATATGTAAAAACTCAAGGCCTATAAACCGAGACAAAGTTTGCTTGCCAAAGCAATGTGAGACAAACCTTAACTCCAACATTTATGGAAATTTCACCAAATATACCATTTTTATGGAGCTCACTTTGGCTTCAATTTTCTATTCACCCAATAATAATTTTGAGCAACCAAATATACAACATGAATCGTTACGTGGCAAAGAACACGTTGCCACATGGACCAGCCAACTTTGGCGCATGGATCTCATCTAAAAATTAGACCAAAATTTTAAAAAATCTATTTTTTTTTCCAAACACTTTTTCAAACTATTTTTTACAGGTGATACTTGTGATCAATACTTAAGACGGGGACGGAATTGGAAGAAAATTATGGAAACCCTATTTCTGTGAAAATTTTTATTTATCATTAATATTTGGATAATTACAAATACACCCCTTGAGGCTTGCTTAAAATACGAATTGTTCCCTGTGATTTAAAAAATTACAAATACCTCATTGTCAGAATTTTTTATTTAACATAATTAATTGAAAAAATAAAATTTCTAACTATTCACCTATACAATAATAAAATTATTTGAATTATTAATTGAAATAAAATTTTAACATTATTAAAAATTGTTAATTAACTTGATGATTTATTAATCCAAGGACCTATTTGTTATGAAATTAGAAACTTTATGGGGCATAATATAATTTCTAGAACCACGTCAGGTAATTTGTAATTTAAGCAAACCTCAGGGGGTGTGTTTGTAATTTATCCCTAATATTTTTCAAATATATATTTTATTTTATAAATAAAATAGTCTCTCAGAATAAGAACTATATATCACATTCTTCTACCATCTCACATAATCTTTTTATTTTCTAGCAAAAAAAATATCTTTATCTTATTAGAAATTACTTTTATACTATTTGATTATTATTTTTTTATATATATTTTATATATATCATATTATACATATATATGTGTTTGTAATATATATATATGGTGAAATTTTTTTTTTTATATTTAATTCTCATCTTGCATCGAGCATGCCATGTAGTTCATGTTGTTGCATGTTTAGCCTTTGCATTGCGTATGCTAGGTTGTTAGGAGCATTGTGCATGCCATGATATGTCATTCCTCACATGGTAAAATTTTGGTTCCGTTATTTCCTAACTTGATGCACCAATTGTGACCCCACCACCAATTTTGACCATTCAAATCATGCAAAAAGTAACTGGTGAACTTGAATTCCTCACCATGCAAAATTGATGCCAACACCTTATTTATTTTTGTTTTCATTTTATCATCAAACCATATATAGTAGTGGGATACAAGGCGCAAAACAATTCTCTCAGGTTCAAACTCATGCCTACATTTGAACTTGAAAAAAATCCCTCATGTGCTAACATTTTGTTGCAATGTTTGTTGCGTTGCATTAATTACCAGTAGACTAATATTTGTACACAATGCTTATACATAGTTTTTTGATAAGAATGAAGTGAGAATAATATATATATATATATATATATTTTTGTAGGACAGTGATATATAAATACAAAAAATAAAATAAAAATAATAATAGTAAAGGACATTTACACACAAGTCGTAATTTATGAACTTAAACTCCATTAAATCCTAATTAAGATTTCTTGAATCTTCAAGTCTCATTAAATTTTTAATAGTCGAAATTATCCTTCAAACAATTATTTTTTATCATTTATGATTATATATAAAAGAACATGATGATTTAACATTTATTTTGATTTTCGAAACTTTAAAACATTAACTTTCAAGTTAAAAAAACTAAAATGAAAATTATGTACCAAAAAAAAAATTGAAAAAATTGAATTATTTTTTGTGCAAAACTAAAAATTTTGTGTCTATAAAAGAGCAGGATGATGGAACATTGATGTGCGAAATTGAACAAAAAAATTAAAAATGACAAAACTGATAATGTACTCAGTTTTAAAACTGGAAAAAACTAATAATCTTCTCGATTTTATTGGAGAGTTGACTCAAACCAATAAGTAAAAGGGCAAAACGTTTAATCTCATACTCTGTTTTTTTATCAATTTGTGAAACAATTATTTGGAACATTACTATGCAAAATTGATAATGTTCTTAGCTTTAAAAACTGAGAAAAACTGATAATATTCTCAATTTTACAAAATAGGACTTATTGGTTCAAAAGCTATTAGATAGAACCTGAGCTACCATATCATTTGCAAATAGAACTTTTAGATAATTAACTCTAATAATAACAATAATTTTGTACGCATACCTAACAAGTGTGTGAACAAAACATTACTTTTGATTGATTCAAAACAATAGGATTCGCAACTTAACATGTGATCAATACATTTTTTGAATAGAGGATTCATTGTTTTGGATCAATTACAAGTTGTATTTTGTTTACATGCTTCGTAAATTTGAGTAGAACCATTTTTTTTTTCCAAAAAAAATGATCCATTCATTTAAAAACATTATATATCCATGTTATGATCATGATTTACAAGTATATCACTGCCACATTATTTTCAACAAATTTTATATGTGAATTATGGTGATTTAATATTATCTTTTCGATGACTGCTATATATCATCAAAATAGTTCACTGGAATTCCTAACTTCCTATAATGGATGTTGTCTTTAAATGATAAAATCCAAACTTTCCACATTATTTTGTATTAATTTAATTTTTTTTTATTCGTATATTATTATTCTAATTAATTTCCATTCATTAAAAAAAAAAAAAAAAAAACTTACTATGCGTATGCGTATGTTGTGTATCCATGCAATGTGAGTAATGACCTGATTACACAACATGTATGGTTCTCGGGACCCAATTCAGGTGGCTTGATTTACTCCTCTCTTTAATTCATCATTTTTTGAAATATTTGACATTAATAATTCTATACAATTGGTTTGGTTAGGACTTTTTGGACTAAAAAAAAGTATAAAAGATAAAATAAGTTAAATAAATTAATAAAATAAAATATTATATCCAAATTATAATCATTTTATTTTTTCTCTCACAAAAATAAAAAAAGACAACTCAAATAAATTTTTTAATCCTAAACCAAAAAAGTCTCAACTCAAAAAACCAATTAAAAAAACCCTAGCCAAACCACAACTATATCAAGTAGGCCCACTCACTGATGTGGGCCTACAATCACTGATGTGTAGTCAATTAGGCCCACTCAGGGCCCCATTTCGATAATACAAATCATTCACTTTTTAAGATATATCAAGTAGAAGATATTTGCAAAAAAATTAAGTCGGTAGCCCTTCCATCTAAGTACATTTGTATTTAGTTTCATACAAAAGTATTTAATTTTTAAATACAAATATGATTAGATGAAAGTGTTATTGATATCTAATTAATTTGATTTTTTACAGATATATTATACTCGATGTATCCTAAAAAATAAACGATTCAAATTATCAAAATAAAACTTGAAATGGACTCCATTAATTGCATAACAGTGATTGTTGTGCATAAACCACAACAATCACCCCAATTTTAGGATCAAAATGGAGAACTCGCCTGGTTTGGGTAGAATGGGAGAAGGGTAATTCAACCTAATTATATGTAGGGTTAAGCTTCTCTTTGGTCTTTATCTGAATTGGGGAGGTGTTATTCAGACTCGCGAAACTCATCATGAATCACATCTTGGTAATTAAAACTGTTCATTTTTTAGGATTATTCATATATAGCATCCATAAAAAAAATTAAGTTGATTTAATAATCGTAACATTTCATTTTATCTTTGAAAAAAGAAACAAGAAGTACATTTTTTAAAATGGACTACTCATTTTTTTTAAGACAAATGTGATAAAATGACAATGTTACTATTATTATATCCACTTTTTTTTTTATGGATGATTTACACACAAAAAAAATAGGTCGATATAAAGCAAGACAAAACCCCTGCAAAGATTAATCAGCATCCGGACCAAGTAATTCAAATAATTCAAAAGAACAATTCCACTGTTCATTAGTAGGGGACCCAAATAAAGCAAGACAACCTGCATAGATTAATCATAAAAAATTATATATGCTTAAAAAGTTTTCAAAAATATTTGTTGGCTTTAAAATAAGAGCTCTAATTTTGTGGCACTAGCTTATGTGTAATCATTTTTACTTTCTATTGGTGGTTTTCATCTTTTTTTTGACTTGCCAACGCACTCACTAGAGCTCTATTTAAAACTCTTGAATTAGAGCCATATATCATTGCTCAAAAGTTTTTAACCTGACCCTGACAAGTTTCTGCGTTTCTAGATTTATTGGTAGCCCTTTGTCTATTCATTTCTTTATCCATGTGTGAGAAAGCACAGACAACAATTGTGATCAACAGTTTTCAAGTGCTTGCTTAAAGGCATTTTGGTGGAAGATAATGAAGCCTGTAACACCATGCAAGATTGCTCTTGTGGTTGTGTTCTTGTTCTTGTTCAATTCAATTGTGATTGAAGGTGAGTTATACTCCAACAATATATATTTGATTATTGCTTTGATAATTTGTAATATTATACGAGATATTCAAATTGTCTTGCACATATATATATATATATATATATGTGTGTGTGTGTGTGTGCGCGTGCGCGCGCGCGCCTCCAGTTCTCACAAAGAAAGTGTTGTATATAGCAGACATCTATGGAGGTGATGAAGCTCCTAATCATTTCAGTCATGGAAAATTTGAAGCTGTAGAAGACGGGACCTCTGAAGAAGGAGATTTAATCATGGAGGACTATACTCGATCTCAGAAGAAGACTCCCATTCATAACTAAATGGTTGCTTTCTTAATCGAAGATTTTATTTTATTTTTATTTAAAGGAGAAAGATTTTTGCCAAACCAAATAGCTGGAAAGCCATGTTGCACAAGTATAAGGCTATTAGAATCCAATCACGGAACTGGACACAATATTTTTGTGTGCTCATGTGAAAAAATTGTGTCCGATTTTATGATCAGATTCTGTGCTGTTCAAAATTTTCATCAATGATGTGATCCAAGCAAGTGACAGAAGTATCGAGTTTAAATGCTTTCAACATATTTAGTTACCAAGTAAGTCTTAACATAGCAAAAAAGGTCCCCGAGAAACTTTACAATAATGTTACAGTGATAGCATTTTTATATAACATTTGGTTTATCATGTAAATTATCATCACTGTACTAAAAATAAAGATAAGTGATAGGCCACATAATACAGTACTAACAATTTATGTAAACTAAATAAAATATAAAAATATGATCATTAAAACAAATGTGATAATTTAATATGAGTATTTGTTTTTTTTGGGGGGTGAAACCCCTCCATTGGGCCTTTCTTTGGTAAAAAAGACAACTTATATAAATTTTTCCTTCATAAACTCCCTCACTTGGAGGCTCATACTTGATGGAGCATACATAAAGATTTTTCTATTTCTTTTTAGACAATCTTACATTTCCATATATACGTGAGAGATTGGAGTGAGACCTTCGAGTGCAAGCTACAATGCGAATGGTGGTAATGGAAGGAAGTACTTGTGTGACGATCTTGACCTTCGTAATATTTTTTTTATATTATTTCAATGAGCATAATCGCATGATTATTTGTTTAATTTGTGATTATCTATTTGTTTATGGATTACCTGTTAGAATTACCGACATGGAATCAGAAACTAGAAACCTTATGGACTTAGAAACCAAAATTGACTAGCCTAATAGGTTAATTAGAATATTTAGAACTATATGAAAACTTTAATTGAAAATTGATTCCGATCAAAATAATTAGAATAAATTAATTACAATTGATTAGAATTAATCAAAATTATGTGGGATTAATAAGCTATAAACAAGCTTAATTAACTTAAGCTAACTACACCTATACAAGTGCCATATAAGCTTGGTGAGCTCATACTTATCATCCTTTGGCTGAGATTTTGAAGAGTGAGAGAGTGTGAATCAACTCGTAGAGAGAGGAAGAAGAGGAATTGAAGGGAATTGTGAAGAATTTTAGAGGATTTGAGGGATTGAGCTAGGAATACACTTGATTCAAGCCTTAGGTAAGATTCTTATCCATAAATCTTGTAAATAGCTCATGTAAAAATAGGATTCATGAAGTTAATAGGATCAATTGAATGGATATGTAAAGAACATGGAAGAAACAACTAAATTATGGAACAATTGAGCATAATTACATGCATGCATGAAACATCCTTCTAAGTCATTACAAGAAATTCATGTAATGGAGAGATTCATTACATGCATGAAGCTTAGACACATGAACTGGAGATTTTTCATGGTTTCATACCTTTAATACCATGTTGTTATGTTTTGAAAAGAAAATAATCCAATTCAAAACATGCATGACTTGTAGCTTAGAGTTTTAAGTTTAAATTTGAGAATTTGATCATGATTTTGAGCAATTGGTTTCAATTGATTATGTTTTCATGTTCTACAATGATTTTCCATGTTTTTGAACCAACCATGCAAGGTTTGAACCTTTAAGTTGATGTTTTGAACTTCAAACTCAATTATGGAAATTCCAAAATTCGTGTAGTTCGCTCGAGCGATGAATCTGTCGCTTGAGTGCACTTTACAAGCTTCCAGTATTTTTGGCAGACTTAAGTAGTTGGCTCGAGTGACCAAATGACCGCTTGAGCGACCACCTCATATTTTGAATCTTGGCTCAAGCATCCAAAAAATTGGCTCTAGCCTAGAATTTGAGCATCCTGTAGTTTTGCGAAGCTTTGCAGATCGCTCGAGTGACCAATAGGTGGCTCGAGTGGGCTGTCCTGTTTTTAGCATTTTTGAAATACACTTCCATGTACAAACTTGCATCCTCAAGCTTATTAGAGCATTCTTAAACATTAATTAAGTCATCATTAACAAGGAAAATGACTTAGAAACACTCAAGAAGAGAATTGAATTAAAATAGAACGGTTAATCGAGATTGTACTTCAATGTGTGTTCGTTATGTGTTTCGTGTAGGTGGACGTCCGAGCCCTTACGTCGATACAACCCACTGTGAGTAGTAACTTTATAAAGATACGTTTGAAATATGTTTTGGAAATCGTTATATGATTGATGTTTTTGAAATGCTATTTTCTATTGATGAGTGAAGTTCTTTTTGAAATGCATTTGTGGCATCTTTTAGTGAGGCCATTGCCTAGGGGAAACAATACCACAACCTATTGGTTTATTAGGCCCTTGCCTAGAAGAAACAATACCATGACCCATTGGATAATTGAAACACAAAGATCTTTGATGTTAGACCTTAATGTCCACATTGAAATTGTTATATTGATTGACCCGATGTAGTCTCATTGATTGACCCTAGAGATCCCATTGTTATTGATACATTGTTACTCTATTAGATGTACCACGTAAATTGATTTGAATGATTATTGTTACTATGATATAATGGATCCATTGTTAAACAAATTAGTGATCAAGGAAATGTATCATTTGTAAAAAGGAATAATGTTTGGACTCCTATTTAACTTCATTTATTTAACCCTTTGTATTGTTATTACTCACTGGGCCCTAGCTCACTCTTTGATATATATATATATATATGTAGGCAAGCAACCAGAATGTCAAGTCTAAGAGAAGCCTGAATCAACCCCATGTAAAGCCGTTTTGGAAGTGCCTTCGAGATGAAGTGTGCTTGGGCTCGAGCGGAGCCAGGGTTATCAACCCTTTCGTCTTTTTGCTTTTGTCTTTTGTTATTTTGGAATTTGTTTTGAATGTAAGGTTAAGAATGTTGATATATGACTAATGTTTGAATTGACTATGATGTATTTTTTTTTCAAAAGAAGAATGGAAGTTTAAGTATATTATGAAGTCTTTCATATACGGACTACTCAATGGATTGTCTTTTATATTTTATACTACTTCCGTTATGCCTTGTTAATTATAATAAAATTGATTTTGTTAATAGAGGCTGTAGGTAATCTGGAATTACTGGTCAGTCATGACTATAAATTTATAGGGGCGGGTTTGGATCATGACAACTTTCTTCCCACTTTGTATGATCTAACTACATCATCTTGTTCAACTTTGGTTTGATAAAAATAGATACTGGAGATAAAATACCCACTGTAAAGATTTATAAAAATATAAAATATTAATTGTTAGGTTTTTGTAATTGATAATCCTGGTGGACAAATTTCAGTTATATTTTCATTCGTTTTATTGTATTTGTGAGTTATGAGAATTCAGATGCGAATCCAACTTGAGTTGTGCTTGAATAGAGGAGTTTGTGTTGACATTCTGTATTTGGTTTTAAGCATGCCTTGTTTGTGCGCTCGAGCAATGAAATGGTTTATCCAATATCATTGTCTGCATTCTAAACTTCTGAAAAACATGTTTTATTGCTCGAGCGGTAGATGTTGCGCTCGAGTGGTTAGCCTATATGTGAGCACCATCTTTAGTCACACCGCTCAAGCAATAAAGTGAGCGCTTGAGCGTTCTTCGTGTTCTGTTTAGTATAAAGTGCGTTGTTTGCTATTTTTAGGGTTTAACCTGTTCAGATTCTTAAAGAAGAAGAGAAAACAAATTGTTTTATATTGGAGGGTGTTTATGTATGGTTTTTCTTAATGATTTGAGGGTGATCAATTGATAAATGAGCTTTATATTAACTATTATCAAGGGTTGTTTTGTTATTTCATTCACAAAAAATAGAGAGGTGTTCTTCGGTAGATTTGAGAAAACTTGAGCCTGAAACTTTGGTGAATTCCAAAGTGGCTCATCATTGTGGATTTGACATCGATATTGTGGATTTAATGTTGGATAAAGCAATTTTAAGGTGAAGACAGTGGTGTAAGAGGCATATCGAGTTCGGTTTAATTCGGCCGTAGATTGCTAGGTAATTGTCTCGTGTGTAATTCCTTTTTGACTTCTTAGTGGATTATTTGACTTTGGCTCGTAATTTTTTATCATAATTGGAGGAGTCCAATTACGATTTTTTCCATATTAAATTGTTGTGCTGATTTATTATTGATTGTTTGATTGAGATAGTTATTCATTATTTTAAATTGAACTATAATCACAAATCACTATTTGGGGATTTTTTAGATTTTTCACTAATTCATCCATTTATTTTTTCTGGTTTAATGATGAATAATATACACAAACAAATTAGTTTGGGTTACTAGTCCATGATATGAAATTTATTTCCTGCCAATTCTGGAAATTGAAATTTGTGTCTTAATTTTCTGTATGATGATATTATTTGCACCAATCTTGCTCTTCTCTATTGGATAACACTGCACATGTATCCTTGTTATTTATTTGTTGTTGAATTATTGTTGATTTGAATTGTTGTTTGTTATTGATTTGTTTGTGAACTTGTAGGGAAGAAACTCATAGAGCTTCCGTAAAGCTTCCTTCAGTTCATACTCTTTTTTTTATTATTGACGCCCTATGCAAGAAAATAGTAAAGTAGTACTCTGGTAGTCAGTAACATTTTACTCTGTTACTGTCAAACAGAGTAAAATGTTATTGTTTATGTCAATTTCGACAGTAATTATTTTATTTTATTTTTTTAAAAATTTCATAATAAACCTAGATCTTATTTGATAGATATTGATGGGAGGATTCTAATAATATTAATTTTATTAAAAACCGATATGTAGATCAAAAGTTATATCATTTTAAAATTTAAAATATTGAATTATTTGTAAGGATATTTTGATAATAGTAGTGTGTGCTGGACTTTTTAAAAAAAACTTTTTGCACTTATCCTTAATATATTAAAGTTTTATTATGTGAGGGCTTTAACCAAATTCCCTTTTCTTTTCTTTTTTTCATAGTCAGAACAACGTCTAATATGAATCTAACCAAACATTATTCGATGAATTTATCTTGTGCATTTATCAAATTGTTTTCCTTTTACATCATGGTTTTGTTTTTTAGATTGAGAAAATTGGTAAAAAAATCCATTCGAAAGAGATATAAGGAATTAGATTTAAGATAAAATCTTATTTGTTTACAAGGACACGTTGAAAAAGTCGTCGGCAATCGGTGATCAGAGGCGGCAATAATCAGCGATCGGAGGCAGTAAGTGGTGTTGGTGAGTAAAGAAATGTGTAACATTCAACAGATATGATGTTGAATGGGTGACATGTGTTACATTTTAACAGATAGGTTGTTGAATAAATGACATGTGTCACATTTGAACAGATAATTTGATGAATTTCAATAGATAGAGAAATATATTGATTTCAATAGATTAGTTAATTTCAAGAGATAGATAGATATATGTTGATTTCAATAGTTAGTTGTTCTGTTAGACAAATTATGTTATTTTGGCCTAAAGAGATTAGAGTTTGGACTTAATAACGCAAAAGATTCAAAAATAGACCTGAGTACCATTTTAGATTTTATCTCTGATTGTTATTCTTTTACTTGATAAACAATCTATCACTATAACACTCACTTAACTAACATAATAAAAGCAACACACAATCCAATTTTTAGTGTTTCAATTTCAGTGAGTGAAAAACATAAGACTTATCATCACCACCACAAACATGTATTATAAATAGGAAAACAGATTTTAGTTTTCACTCTCATTCTATGAAATTTCTCTTTTCCAAATCACTAATTTGCTAAGAAATATTATAAATTTTTAAGCAAAGAAAGAAAATGGTGACTCTTATTTCTATAACATTGACCATTATGTTCTCAAGCTAAATTAACTTTGAGTTTTTCACAATTTGGTGTCTTCATTTAACTTCCTATATAAAAATTAAAATAAATAAATAAATAAAATAAGATAAAAAACTTAACTCAATTACCAAAAAGGCCTAAATACGCATTATCGATATTCATTTAACTATGTTATTTTTTTCAATCATTCTTATTTTTTTTCATAAGATTCCCATTAAGTCTATTAACACATGAATCAATCTATAGGACTTGATGGAAATTGGTAATTTTTCCACCCAAAAAAACTTTCCATGTGGTTTTTAACTTTTGTACAACAATTCCAAAAGGCTTAAAATTTCATTGAACAAGCAGGAAAAGCAAGTCAGGCAAACAACCGGCTATCCCAGGGCCTGAGTTGACACCTCAGAAAATTTTTTTTTTCAATTAAAAAAAAAAGAAGCAGGAAAAGTAAATAAATTTGCATATATTAAGAATATGAAAAATGATTGGTGCCTTGACAAAGTGAGGCGCGAATGCCTCAACGCATGTGATTCACTCTCTGTTCTCATCCCTCTCTTGCACTTCTATATTCAATTTCAAACCCACAAAACTATTCAAACCCAAAAACTCTCAGCCGCCCAGATGTCCGTCCGGATGTCCGGTGGGGTCTTGGTTGTCAAGGATGACTTCTGCGGTTGTCGAGGATACTGCTGTTTTGACAACTGGTGAGAAACAGAATTGAATTGGGCCAAGAATGGTTCACCGATCGTCCAGCCGGATGTCCACCTAGACGTCCGGTCCCTTTGGGGCTGGACTGTTTCATTTGCTGCTGTGCTGGGCTGTTCTTGAACCATCTATGGCAAACCAACAGTGGAGTTTTTGTGTGTATTCTTGAGAATTTTTGTGTGTGTTTTTGAGAGTTCTTGGTTTGGGTGTATATGTTATTGTGCTGTCCAAATAAGCTCATACAAATTCCATGATTGTAAATGCACTCCCCATACCAACTGTAATTTAGCATGCTTCAAGTACAAAGAGGACTAATGCTTCATGAAACAAACTTCTATACCTGCAAAGCCTACAAACACTTGCATAAATAACTCAAATGTTTAATAAATATTCCTGAAAGTTTCAACTAGAGAGAATACATGTAAATTTTTATTCTATTTTTCTTTGTTGTGTTATTTCACACAACACAAACAACCTGCAGAGATCAAATGTTTACAATTAAGAAAGCTCAAATGCTTCCACAATGACCTCCACAGTCAATACACACACCACTATAGATTTCTCTTTTCCTTTATGGGACTCCCTTACACATACACATAACAATATACTACATAAACACAGACCTTTTCTTTTGGATTCCATTATAATTTTTTTATTTTTTTATTGGTGGATAGATTATCTACTTTGACTACCAAAAGTTCCCAGCAAATGGTATTTACCCCAACTTCTGATGTGAGAAAGGAAGGTTATAGGAATGATGTGAGCAAGGAAAGTTATAAACCCCTGAAATATTTTGAAACACCACAAAACATTACAAAACTATGAAATGTTTCAACTCTTTTTAGGAACTCCAATATCTAATTTCTCTCATTGGTTTGATAGCATTTATTAAGAAAAAAAAAAGGTAAGCACAAAGAAAGTTAAAACTATAGCCATTCTACAACATCTGTGGTATCAGGGGTCTGTCCCTGCTTCCCATTATTCGGCTAACCATACATCTATGCTTATATTATATCACATTATAACAACAAAGTAAAGCCAAAAGAGAGCCACCACAAATACTATAAAAACAAGCACCCAAACAACGGAAACAAAAACTGAATTAAGCCAAAATAAAACCATATCAACATCGTCCAAACATCCAAGAGAATAATAAGTCACCTTCCAAAAAATATATTGTCAGCGAAAATCACTTTAAACCATTACATTACAAGTTATGAGACTTGATTGGATCCTATAAACAAACCAAAGTATCGAAAGTTTACAAAACAAAGTCATAAAATTACTACTATAAAACTTAAAATAAAAAGGGGCATTTGGTTCAACATCTATATTCAAGTCAACAAATTTTGAAGCAATTGATCCACTTTGACTGCTTATATTGTTCGCCATTCCTGAAAGACTAAGAAAACCGCTTCTAATATTATCCAGCATTTGCATTGGGCTACCTCGTG